TAGGCTTATCTATGGCCTTTAAAAAGTTGACGACTCTACATGTTTCGACGTTACAACGTCATTTTGAAGGCCATAGATAGGCCTAAATAAAATGTTTTTCATTGTGTACCAGTTTAACGTTGAATATTATTTATGATTTTAATATAAAACTCTGGTATGAAATCTTGTTTATCGCCTTTCAAAAGTTTAAGCAGTATACAGTATACGGTCCATTCAGCCCAGGATTTTCATATAGAAAATATAGGGGCTCGCCAGAGGTCACTACTGTTAAACACAAATCAGAATCTGAAACAAATAAACTGAGCAAAAAAAACCTTTACTTATAAACAAAGTTGTCACGTGTATTTAGTAATATGTATGGACATAACGATATTCATTTAGAAATACGTTTCATTTATTTCCAATACCTCAAACTTAGTCACATATACGTATATAGGATATCCGAACTGGAATTTAATGTTTCACTTCAAGATAGTCACGTGTACAAAAACTTCAATCCTTTCTCTTTTTTTCCAAAACGTTCTTTATGAAACCGGTTTCGTAGGATCACAGGTTACTAATCAGTATAGAAATTCGTCCTGGATAACGTTAATATTTCTCCAGAGTTACCCATATTATATATACTTAACGTACATCTAAAATATTATATATATATATGTGTGTGTTTGTGAGAACAAATAAAGTTTGAAAATACAAAAGTTAATTTTGTTTATTTTGCTAATATTAAAATATGCAACTTTCAAGATGCGTGCGTGCTACTTCGGGAAGTATCTAAAGCAACAAAACTAATACACGTGTATGAATGACTAGGTTTCAGTGAATAGTCCAATAGTCTTCGTTTTTTTTTGTTTTTTTTAATCCAAAGAATGATGTTTTACGGCATTTACCATGTGCTTAATGACTTCATTTCTAATCCACAGTTAAGCCTAACTTTGCAAATAACTTGATTTTTTTTAAGTTATCCCTCCCCACTTTTTTCAAAGCTACAAGTATTCTTCTCGGATGAGATAACATCAGAATATTTCTTCTCCACTGTTTAGTGTTCTCATAACGTATATGATACTGGTTAAGTTTGGCTAAACAAAATACTTTACATACCTGCCAACATTGTAAAATATATTTCAAGAAACAATATTCGGGTTAAATATGTCATTTTATTTTACAATAACCAACCAAAACTTCTAGCGTGAAATATGTTACCCAGCGTTGTATATTACGTATCACAAGTATTTACACGGTTGCAAAATAATATAATAGCGTTTCGTTACAACGTATGAGCTAATGTTTGTACTCTGACTGAATTGAACACTTCACACACTCGATTTTTTTTTTTTCGATGTACAAATAAAAGCCACTGGGGCTTTTTTTTTAAATCCTACACAAAATGCACTATTTTCCTGCGCATAAAAACATAGTTCACGCAATAAGACAGTTTAGACCTACACTGTTATTCTCGGTGTTTCATTTCTAGAAAAAGAAAGTGCCGTATCCTTTGTTGACAGCTGGGGAAGGGATCTGTTCCCTTGTCGACAGCTGGGGAAGGGATCCGAGAAGATATAACAATTCTAACGTTCTGGAAAGGAGTAGAAGGTTAATGCAGTTGACTGCGTCAGAAAAAGTTTGTTTTAGGACAAAGCTACATTGGGCTATCTGCTGTGTCCGTCGCGGGGAATCAAACCCCGGATTTTAGTGTTATAAGTCCTTAGACTTACTGCTATCCCATGGGGGGGAGACAAATATCAACTGATAATGGAATTGAGACATTTTAAGAATAATTATAATGTTTCCGTCTTTATGTAAAATAAACACAAAATCCCCCTATCTGTATCTCAGATCACGATAGGTCCGGCAGAAAATAAGAGTAAGTATCGTTAAGATGATAATTACACGCCATGGATATTACCTACCACGTGTTTAATTCGGTTGCGGACGTAGGTTTAAAAAAATATCTGCTAATTTTTTAATAAAATCTTGGAAGACGTATTTGGTTAAAAAAAATTTTTTCTTTCAGATTTAAATAGTAAATAACACAAACACTTTTAGTTCTAACTTCAAAGACACCGATTAATCTTTCTCAGTCACGTTGCGATTGTTGCCAGATTTTTAAACACAAACTGCTATTAGAAATACTAGCTTATGTACCCGTTTAATCTACGGGGAAGATAAAGGGGCCCCACGAAAGGTTACAGGGGAATAATCCGAACGCCGACCCCTCTATGTCATTCCCCGGAGAGTCCTAAAAAAAAAAAAAAGATGCCAGGTGTGGTGACAATCGGTCCAGCGGTTCGCCAATTATAAGCGGACACGCACACACAGACTTCTCTCAAACGATGGGTCAGATAGCCTAATGTTTAAATCGAGAAATGGTAATGGTGTTAGGGTTTCTTTTTTGTTTTTCTAACGAGAAACAGTTCATTCTTAAATTATTTTACAACTCATAAAAGTTTCACATATAAAAAGTTTTTGTATATACCTTGAAGGATGAGCAGAGAAAAAAAAAATTGAAACAGCACCAAAATTATCTTCTGTTCTCGTAAAGCACATTGTTTTTTTTTATCATTACTGTTAACAAACATATCTAGGTAGACGTTTGGTTAGTTAATGGTTTTCTTGGCACATTTCAGTAGAAGTAAAATTATCATAAGTTCCTTTTTTTAATACACACAACGATCACATTATAGAAAATATGACTAAATGTATTTTTGGCACAAGAAAAAAACAAATATTTTTTTTTTTTTACTCACCTATATGATATATATATATATATATATATATATATTTCTAATCTCAGTTGTTGTTTTTCCTGAAATTCCCAAATTTGGCACCTTAGAAAAAGAACTAGAATTTTACAAAGTCCAAACAGCCACGTTTGGAACAAAAGACGCTAATGCACTATACAAATACGTGGTAATAATCTCTGTTCATCATTTTCATTTTTCAAACAACAAAGCTTATAATAAAAACGTGTAATGTATAATGCAACGACAATTGAGAAGTCAGCCGTTCAACAGTTATATTAGACAAAAAAAGTATAAAACTAACGTTTCTGTTATCAGTTTTTGAGTATTAAACAGTAAAGAATCCTTTGTTGTTGTTTTAATTTCGCTGCACAGATTTTGCGGTAATTTAATAAATCTGTAAAAAAAAATTACGGATTCACCATTTGAAATTGATTTTAAATTTTAACAAAAATCATAATATTCATATTTAGTCTTTTCGAAACTATTATTTTCGGAATTTAATTATTTATAAGTTACTAGTCATTTCAATCGCACCCATAAAAAAAAAAAAAGAAATAGAGCATGTATATAGGACTTCAAATTTCTGTTGAGAAAACAAACCAATGACTGGTTGCAGTTTGACGAACGCGAAATTGTCACACTCACACACACAATGAATGACGTTATGCGCGTCGGCACGTGCGTCTGTGACGTACTTTGAAAAGTCTCTCTCGTTGTTTCGAGAAAGGCAACGAATGGCGAGTGAGAGTGATTATTAAAATTCCGCAGCCTTAAAAGGCGATATTGAGTGGTTGTTGACGCAGCTAAATAGAACAGAGCGATATAGTCATGCGTTTGTCGGCAACCTTTTGATGTTATCTGTTAAACCACACACACACAAACACGACATCAAATTCGTTCATTCTTAGTCTCGATAAGGCTTGCAGTAGCTGAACCGGTGGTTCATGTGTTGGCTGTAGGAGCCGGAGTGGGAGAACCGCTTTAGACACTTCCGGCACTGGAAAGGCTTCTCGCCGCTGTGAAGTCGCTTGTGCTCCGTCAGGTGGTGCTTGTGTTTGAATGCTTTACTACACTCGTCGCACTGATGAGGTCTCTGACCTGTAAACATTTGTGAAAAGTCATCACATACGGGTGGCAATAGTTTTCGAAGTTTCTTTGTTTTATCACAAATTTATAAAATAAATGGGCGACCTGCGCTCTGTCCGCCATGGATTTAAGCGTTGTACATCCCTAAACTTACCACTGACCCAATTTGGGGGGTTCTGTCCGCCATGGATTTTAGCGTTGTACATCCCTAAACTTACCGCTGACCCAATTTGGGGGTTCTGTCCGCCATGGATTTAAGCGTTGTACATCCCTAAACTTACCGCTGACCCAATTTGGGGACGAGAGCTCGAACGTCAGAATTTGAAAACAATTACATAACACGAAGATCGAAACCCAGTGTTTAGCGTTACAAGTCCGCAGACTCACCGCTGTGCCATCAGGGGGGTGGGGGTCAGTTAGCTATCAAAATTTACTTCTTGCAGAAAACTTACACCATTACCTCGTTTTAAATACATAAAATTCATTTTGAAAAATTAATGAAATAAAATGGTGCAGGAAACTTTAATAAAAAGGGGGCAATAGGAAAATGGTTACATTTCTTAATCAACGGACGAATATAAAAAGCGAAAAATTTATCGTACTTCTATATGTCAGTGAAATATGATAAATTCATATATATATATATATATATACAAAACAGTATTTACTGAATACACCTTTAGATATTTTACACAAAATATCTTTAAATTTGAGTTTGCTGCTCTCGTGATAAAATAAGAAAAACAACACACGGATTAATTCCTGCGTTTCACATACCGGAATGTTCGTATTTATGTCGTGCAAGAGAACTCTGTTTGTTGAACGCTTTAGAGCATTGATCACATTCAAATAATCCTTCTCCATCTGATCTTTCGATAGAAAACTTCCTTCTTTTCATCTCAACTCCATCATCTTCCTCCAGTTCTAACTTTTCTTCCGCTACAACTTGATGTCTTTCTGTGTTCGCCTAAAAAACATGCAAAAAGTTTATTATAATTTCAGCATTTCTAAATTCGTCATCAAGAATTTTAGTAACACTAAATGAGTTCAAGGACCTCAATATTACGAAATGACTCCAAGGACTTTAGTATTACGAAATGACTCCAAGGACTTTAGTATTACGAAATGACTTCAAGTATCTCAGTGTAATGAGAAGACTCCAAGGACTTTAATATTACGAAATGACTCCAAGGACTTTAGTATTACGAAATGACTCCAAGGACTTTAGTATTACGAAATGACTTCAAGTATCTCAGTGTAATGAGAAGACTCCAAGGACCCTAATATGACGAAATGACTCCAAGGACCCTAATATGACGAAATGACTCCAAGGACCTTAGTATTACGACATTACTTCATAGATCTCAGTTAAACGAGAAAGACTCCAAGGATCTTAATATCATGAAATAACTCCAAGGCCTTTAGTAGTACGATGAAATGACTTGTATGACTACAAAATTAGGGATAGCATTAGTAGTTTTGCCATAAATACACAAAGTACAAAGAAAGGCCGTTAGTTTGACGAAATAATTTCAAGGGTCTTGTATTATGAGATTACTTTTAGTTAGTAAAAATAGGAAAGGTTTGTTTGTTTGTTTGAATTTCGCGCAAAGCTACACGAGGGCTATCTGCGCTAGCCGTCCCTAATTTAGCAGTGTAAGACTAGAGGGAAGGCAGCTAGTCATCACCACCAACTCTTGGGCTACTCTTTTACCAACGAATGGTGGGATTGACCGTCACATTATAACGCCCCCACGGCTGAAAGAGCGAGCATGTTTGGTGGGATGGGGATTCGAACCCGCGACCCACAGATTGCGAGTCGAACGCCCTAACCACCTGGCCATGCCGGGCCCAAATAGGTAAGGAAAGGAACAAATCAACACATAATGAAATATATTGTTCAACCTATACATTTTGGTATTCGAGTTTTCGAAACCCTTTAACGGTATTAACACCTTTCAAGATAGACATTTGACCAAAGATGTCATATTACAGAAGAAATTATGCGCATTGTCAAGAGACATACACTTTAATTAAGTTAACAGCGTAATATTAAGTTTTGTATTGTTATTAATAATACACCTAAACAGTCTTCATGAATACTTCTGGAGAAAATTGTCCTACCTTTTTCCAAAATCTCTTAAAATTATCCATTTGCCAACTTTCAACGTTATCTGGAGAAGAACTTTTTGAATCAAATTTTCCATTTGCTTTAGTGGGACTACAAGTTACATCTGGACTGTTTTGTTCAGGTGAAGATGGTGGCCCTTCGCTTCCCGGAGTTACGTCTAGACTGTTTTGTTCAGGTGAAGATGGTGGCCCTTCGCTTCCCGGAGTTACATCTGGACTGTTTTGTTCAGGTGAAGATGGTGGCCCTTCGCTTCCCGGAGTTACGTCTAGACTGTTTTGTTCAAGTGAAGATGGTGGCCCTTCGCTTCCCGGAGTTACGTCTAGACTGTTTTGTTCAAGTGAAGATGGTGGCCCTTCGCTTCCCGGAGTTACGTCTAGACTGTTTTGTTCAAGTGAAGATGGTGGCCCTTCGCTTTCGGGTGAATGAGAAGTTGGTCGTAGATGAAAGCCATTCGCTGGACTTACAGATCTACAGTCCGTAATCAAGGACATTCTTGATGAATCCTGATGTGGACTTACTGAATCGAACTGCTCCATGATCGGAGATCCTTCTGGTGGAGAATAATAGTGATCAAAGTTCACAATGTCGTTGTATTCAACTGGCCGGTTTTTGGTAAGTACTCTAAAGGAATTTCTTTGGTGTTCGCTTGTATACTTGAAAAAATTAAAGTTTTCACTATCAAAATACCTTCCGTTCGTAGCACTACGTGATTTGGTTTCTTTGGGTGGCGCTGATGTACGACTGGACTTTTGGCTGAGGTTCATGATTTCGTACTCATAATTTGGTTCTACTATTGGTGAATTTTCTAAATGTTTATATGGGTTACAAGTCTCTTCCTTCTTCAAGGAAAGGTCAAGAGGTGATTCATAGTCCGGTAAAACAAACTTTCTGACCAGCTCTGTACCTTTTTGCCGTATGTTCTGCGAGCAGATAAATGGAACTCTATATTCAAAACACATATTTTTACTGTGAGCCGGTGGTATAGTCAGACCCGGTGACGTGTCCCCATAACAGCTTGGCGTGGTAGGAAAGTTGAAGAGAGGCTGTGGCTTGTAACTCGGAATATTCAAACGGTATGGTTGGGCTTCACGAGATACTGGTAAGTCTATTTTCGAGCAGTTTTCAAGCGAAACTTTCGGTATCTGAATTGGACAATTTGTAGAACAGTTCTCATTTTTAATAGCCTGTAACCAAACCTGCACAATACGCGAAGGACATCCAAGTTCTCTTGCTAGCTTCTTAATATCATATTTTGTCGGATTCCGGTTCTGAACATGAAATTTCTCCAACGTTTTTAACTTAATTCCGCTCAAGATATTTTGAAAAGAAATATTTCTGCCATCCACTAAATTCATAACATCTTCGACGCTACCTGCATTGGCTTCATTTTCACTATGGGGTGATGATCTAAAATAGAAACTTTCACCAAAGTCATTTCCTGTAGCGTTCCAGTATCGTATTTCAGGTGTCTCTGGATTATTAGTGTTCGACAAACTTACATCGCCAATGGAACAAATTACAGATCCAGTCTGGTCGTCCATAGAAGCATTTGTTCTCGTTAACCGCTTTCCACCTTTACACGATTCTGATTGGACATTATTAACTTCATCAGCACACTGTTCGCCACTTTGGAGATTCTGAACTGGGCTTTTACCGCTTAGGATAGATTCTTTTTTGAAACTGCACATAAGCTTTTCTAGCGATATCTTCAACGGATGCGAGCAAGGAGGTTTACTTAAAAGCTCTGAAAGAAGCCCTTTACGTCCGTTGTTGCAGCTCGAAGTCTGTTGCTTCTTAGCTACAGATTCGTCCATAATTTCAATAATTCTTCTAACTGTCTTTATGTCGCTGTTTGCTGATAGGCTCACTGGTGGTGGATAGTTTCCTTGTTCTCTCCCAGAGATCACAGTATCAAGAAAGGAATTCATGGGTTCTGATGACGTAGGTGTTGGCAAAGACAGACTGGAAGAGACTGGGTTATCAACAGAAGAAGGTACAGCACTGGGCGAATTGAAAAAGCATGCAAAAGGAAGGTGTTTCGTAGGAATGTCGGAGTTTTGAGGTTTCAAAAAAGGGTGCCAAGGAATGGAGGCGAAGGCCCCTGGATGGAGGGGATGTTTTTTAACTTGAGGATGATTTTGGTTGGTCACAGTAGATGAAAATCCAGGTTCAATAGGCACGTATTCTTCAAAAGACTGAATGGTCCTAGAATCACATAGGTGATTCTTTGGTGAAATAGCGTGGGCGACCTTTTGGTTAGTTCCACGACCTCGAGGCGGCTTATTTTCCATTTTACGAACCTATTGGAACAAGATAAACTGTTGGTGATAATACCGCCAAAAATAAAATTATTGTTTTTATCACAAATAAATAACGAAATCGAGGTTGTTTCAATGAAAAATGTTTTTCTAACCATTTTATTTAAAATTTTTGGCTATAAGTAGTTTAATGACGAATACAAAAGGCACATCTGAATTAATTATTACTCATTTTTCTTTTCTAGATACAACAATAAATGTTTTCATTACTTCTCATTGGCTGAATACCTGAATTACCACACCCACTGACCATTACAGTATAATTTTGTAACAAAACTAAACTCATAACATAAGTAGTTTAATGACGAATACAAAAAGGCACATCTGAATTAATTATTACTCATTTTTCTTTTCTAGATACAACAATAAATGTTTTCATTACTTCTCATTGGCTGAATACCTGAATTACCACACCCACTGACCATTACAGTATAATTTGGTAACAAAACTAAACTCATGTGTAGGCGATACACATTGAAACTGATTGACAACGGTTTTCCTGAACTCTTATCAATCTGAAACTCAACCTAGAACAAACTGCTTAACTGTTACCATAAAAGTTAGGCCTCACACTGTAAACAAATCTAATTGTTTGTCCTGTCCAGGTTTTGGATAAAGTATGTAATTATTCACTTTGAACAGATATGCAAACTTAATAAAATGATGGTGTACAATATCCATCGAAATACAAGCCTTATTATTTAATAATAAGTTTTGATTTAAGACCTATGTATCACCTCTTTTTTCATTTTCTGGAAGACAAACTTTCTTTTAATATATATATATACACATCGCATTACTGTTATCGGTCTAGGCTGTCAACTTATTGTCATAACAGATAATGTCTGTGGTAGTAAAAGCACCCAAATGCGTTGAGGATATCCCATCTGTCAGTTTGTTTGTTTTTGAATTTCGCGCAAAGCTTCACGAGGGCTATCTGCGCTAGCCGTCCCTAATTTAGCAGTGTAAGACTAGAGGGAAGGCAGCTAGTTATCACCGCCAACTCTTGGGCTACTCTTTTGCCAACGAATAGTGGGATTGACCGTAACATTATAACGCCCCCAGGGCTGAAAGGGCGAGCATGTTTGGTGGGACAGGGATTCGAACCCGCGACCCACAGATTGCGAGTCTAGTGCCCTAACCACCTGGCCATGTCGCTCCCCCCGCTCCCCTACCCCATCTATCGGCCAAAATCCAAACGCCGATGTTAATCTAGTCAGCCGTCATGGAAAATCAAATGTTGGGGTGTTGATTTTATCGCCCTTTTTTGTTTGTTTCCTATTTTAGGAATATTCTGTTACCTTCGTATACTGATTAATAGCCTAGCTAGCTGTTAACCAGTAAATTCAAATATCCTACATCAATATATATATATATATATATAAAAAAATATTTGCAAAAAGTCCATCAGTCATAGATTTTCAACATGTATTTATTTGATTTTCCAAGAAGGTTTGTTTGTTTGAAGTTA